TGACGAGCGCTTGAGAAAGGATTGCTCCTGCAGGGACGTGCCACTGTCCTCCTGGGTGCCTGCAGACCCAGGGAGAGCCTTGGCTCCTCACACGCTGGGGCCACCTAGCCAGGACTGCTTTGCTCCGTCTGTTTTAGGGGTATGAAGTGGGAGGCTAGTGAATTCCTATACTGTGGTGTGAACTTCTCATCATTTCAGCCAGAGGGAGTTACAGGTAGATGCTGCACCATTTTCCTTGACCTCCGTCTCTCTTCATCCTTGACTGGCTTTTTATAGTTTGGCTATAGCCAGGAGTGTTGTTTTGATGTGTGTTTGGTTTCTGCCTATATAAGGATGTGAACCAGTACTGCAAGCTCCCCAGGCTGGAAATCCCTAGAATTTCTGAAGTTAGGAGCCCCTCCTCAACCCGTCTTCTGTGTCCACCCTCAGGTCGGCAGGGGAGAGCCAGACTCACCGCTTAGGACTTTTGAATGGTGGCCAGTGTAAGAGCACCCCCTCACAGCAGCTGCCCAGAAGAGTCTTCCAAGAGTCACAACTAGCTGGAGGGACTGAATGTCCATGGCACAGAGTAGGAGAGGGACATTCTTCTCCCACGGGGAACACTGAACTGAGATGAGGCAGCTAACTGTGAAAATAAAATAGAGGGTCAAATTTAAATTCATCGGTAGTAACAAAAAGAGCATTTCAAGTCCTGGTTGTAGAAAATATAATCTGGGGAGAATGACTTAACATTATTTGTTTGTAAAAGAAAAATATAGTTTTGTATATTTTAGTGAACTTCAATTGTTTTCACTGTCCTTGATATGTCCCTGTCTATGTTTACTTCCCGTGTCCCGAAATGATCACATTTTGTTATGTAGTACAATGCTTTGGGAAATAATATTTGCACTGATGCATTTTTGGAAGGCCCCATAACCATAAGGGGCAGGATGATGCCATTTTTATAAACAGCTGGTAATTGCGAGTCTTCCCCTAGTGCTTCTTCGAAACAAATTCTTAGTGTTTCTTTTTTGGCAAGACCTTCTTCGAAACAAATTCTTAGTGTTTCTTTTAGGCAATACCCTCTTTTATTCTTGAATCAAGTGTGACTCAAGGTTCGTCCAGCAGGCTCATCCCGTGGAGGAGAGTGGGTCTAAGGTGAGCTTGGCCTGTGTCTGCGGCACACACAGATCTGCCGCCATGTTGCCCGGTGTCTGTTGTCTCAAAGTCTCGTCTGATATCCTGCTCGAATTGCTCCGTGCTAAGGCCTCACTGCTAATCCTTGTGTGTGTGTGTGTGTGTGTGTGTGTGTGTGTGCGTTTAATAGAAGTTATAAGCACTTTTAGTCTATGTGGACATAAGAATGTTATAATGTAATGAAATTTATGATGACTTAATTCCTGTCCTTTAAACTCATAGCAAAATGGTCTCTCCATTCTTAGGCTGAGGAGCTCTGTTTCCTCTGCCTCATAAGAAACACATTTGTCTATCTGTTTATTTACTTATTTATTTAGTTATTTTAAGAATGATTTTTTGCTATAGGGCACGTCTGCTTAGAGAGACAGAAAGTGAGAAATCACCCCCCAGGGGGTTGGGCCATGCCTCAATCTCTTCTCCTTCCTTGTCTTCTCAGGATTTTATTTTTTTTGGAGAGGTTTTTGCTATAGGGCGCATGCATTCACCAGAAAGGCAGAGAGAGACAGAGAGAGACAGACAGTGAGAAATCACCCCCCAGAGGGGATGGCCATGCCGCATTCCCTTCTTGGGATCTTGGGCATGCACACACATGCGTCTGGCGTGAGTTTAAGCCACCGGGTCTGGGACTCGAGCCGCGCGAGTCCAGCAACATAGCCATTACACCAACTGCTGGTTCCTCTTCTTGGGATTTTGGGCATATACACACACGTACCCAGTGTGGGTTTTAAGCTGCTGGGCCAGAACTCAAACCACAGTCAACTACGTGAGAGTCCAGCAACATAACCATTACGTCATCTGTTAGTTTCAACAAACTTATTTATTTATTAATCTGATCAAAAATGGTTTATTACATACAGAGAAATTCACTAGTTTTTAATTAACCTTTTCGAAATACTGGATTGTCTGTCCCCTGACCAGGCAAATTTCTTTGAAGGCAGGCTACAGGGCAGTTGGTCCCTGGGAGTTGGTTGAGTCTCCTGTAGATTCCCCAGGGATACAGAGTGTGTGTGTGTGTGTGTGTGTGGTGTGTGTGTGTGTGTGTGTGTATAGGTGAGTACCTGAACACGGAGAACACCTGATTGCCAATACAGGTTCCTAAAAGAAGATGATGTTTTCCATAGTACGTATAAAAGGTTAGTTTCCTGCAGATGAAATGTTTCTTTTTTGTCAGGCAAATTTTGTTTGGTTTTGATTTTATGATGTTTAAACACCTGCTTGTCAGTTTTGGGTTATCTAAGGCAGGAGCGAATGGTTTTTATCTCAGGCGTTGTTTGCCTGTTCCCCCTGGGACTTGAGCAACATGTGTTTAAGTGAATGCACATTGTCAGGTCTATCTCCTCCCCAACTCTGGCCTTTAATAAATTGTGAAAAAGTAATACAATTTACAGCACTCCGGAGAGAGCACAGGGCCGTCTCGGAATCATCTCGTGTGTTATCTCCAAAGTACTTTTCTTTGTGCTCTTTTACATTTGAGTTTTCTTGTTCTTGTGTTTATGGAATTTCGATGGAATTTGTACTTTCATGTGGTTTGTTTTCTTTTGTAAGTAGAGTTGGTGCAAACGCTAATGCCTATAAATATTTCCTGTTTCAAAAATGTACACATGAGGAAATTATCACTGTTTTCTTCATAAAGCTAATCGAAACTGAGAATTACTTTATGCCATCATCTGAGAAGTTCACATTTCATTGGTCAAAACTCAGAATGAAGCTAGCATTTACAATTTTTACATAGCTAAGTTTGTGTCATGAGTTATATTCTTGGGGCTCCAGGATGCAGGTTTCATATTATTCCGCAGTGCTCTGTGCAGGAATGTATTGTGAAAACACGAAGAGATGCTTTTCTATCGTATTCTTTCTTTTTAAGAATTATCTTATTTAATTTTCTTTATTATTATTGTTAATTTTCTATAAGGCACATATACTCACCAGAGAAAGAGACAGAGACAGAGAGAGAAACCTGGCAAGCTGCCAGGTCTGGACCTTGAAGTGTGGTCAGCTATGGTCCCAGCTTTCTGTCATATTCTAAGAAAGAAACAAATGGCATTCTCACAAAGTAGCCTCCTGTCATCTGAACAGTAAAACGTGAATCCAGGATGATCATGTAAAGCTTTTCTGTAATGTTTAGGCTGTATTTACAGTGCTATATGATAGGTGCTCATGGAACTATCAAAAGAGGGCCATCTTAGATACTGACATGCTTTAACAAGGATTTCAATGTAGTGACTTAAACATGCCAAGAAGAAATTTTCTTTTCAGGAAGATCTACCTAGGAAGTAGTACTTCAGAGACAAATATCTCTTCCTCTCTCCAGGAAATTATTATTTTTTTTAAAGAATTATTTATTTAATTTTACTTATTACTTTAAAATTTTCTATAGGGCATGTGCACTCACTGGAGAGAGAGTGGGAGAGAGACGAGGAGAAAATGAGAAAGCAAGCCGTCAGGTCTGGGACTAAACCTTAGTCGGCCATATGGATGTCTAGCTCCCTAACCACCATGCCACCTTCTGGTCACCCGGACATTATTTTTAAAACATCACTTTGTGAACTTACCTAGTTATTCATTGCTTTTCAAGAGAAAACCGTGAAGGTTGTAATTACTTGTGTTCCCTTGTTCCTTTACTCTTCCTCTATTTTTTTATTGGAGAAAGTACTAAGGAATTTCAGCTTTACTATTGTGAGCGTTATGATAACCAATAGGATACATTCATGGTGTCACCTTTTTGTCTGTACTGGCTAGTTTCACGACGTTTCTAAT